ATAATGATACAAACTTAAATAATTACAATACTGGGTCTGGAGAGATGGCTCAGTGGTCATGAACAAGTACTGCTTTTTCAGAGGACCCATTTCTAGTCTCAGCACTCAAAGCATGCAGTTCATGACTGAAAGCTCACAATACTCAAGAGTCTCTAAGAAGTAGAACATTGAACAACAAATAAAAATTTGGACCTTTCAAGGGGAACACAACAAAATACTGGCAAGCTACCAGAGGGAAAGTTTGAATATATTTTCAACTGAAATGAGTAATGGGTAAAATGATACTAAGGGACAGAAACAGAAAACAGGAAAGGAGAAAAAGGTAAACTTAAGTTCTACTCTCGTTTGTTCTGAATGCAGGGCCTTCATGTATCCCATGATGGCCGCAGGAACTCACTGTGTTGCTGGATGACTGAACTGATCCTCCTGTCTCCACTTCACAAATACTAAGATTACAGTTGTGCAGTACCATATGTATTTTTATGCCAGTGCTAGGGATCAAACTGAGGCTTTGGGCATGCTAGGTCAACACTCACCAAATGAGCTACATCCCTAGCTAGTAAAGTTCTGAAACTCTGTTCTATACCAAATTATCCACACAGGCTGTGCATTTTGCTAAGAAGTGTAAATATAATAAAAACCACAACACGATACAGCTCCATGATAAAGCACTTTCCTGACATGTGCAGGGTTTTGAATTCAATCCTCACTGGAAACAAAACACAAATGCACATATAAACAAGAATCAAGGATCAGGATGGAACACTACAGAGACCTCAGTATTATACCCACATCAATCAGAAAGAAAACACAAAAACTAGGGTAGGACAAACGATATCAGAAGCTGTTTGTTGATACAAAGTCTAAGTCTAGGCTCCAGAAAAGGTATAAAACCCAATCCTCACCTCCCTAAAGTATAGACAAGCCAGAATACCCAAAAAAAGTCTGACAGAACCCTCTTGGTGTCCTGTTCCTAAAGACTACATCTAAGTGGAAAGCACTAAGTGTCTCAGGTCCAAGTCCCCCCCACCCCCCCCCAAAAAAAAAAACCAGGGCACACTAAATCACAAATGGTCTTTTCTAGAGTCTGTTCTGACTATATACAAAAAACAAGGGTTTAAAAAAATGGCCTGAAATTCTTGTGGAAGTTTATTTAGAGACTATGAAACAACCTTTTTCCCTTTTAAAAACAAATGGCTTATACATTAGACTTAACTATGAGACATTATAAAAGTCTCGCAAAAGAATATAGTATCTGTGCCAGGCGGTGGTGGCACACGCCTTTAATCCCAGCACTTGGGAGGCAGAGGCAGGAGGTTCTCTGTGAGTTCGAGGCCAGCCTGGCATACAAGAGCTAGCTCCAAGCCGGACGGTGGTGGCACACGCCTTTAATCCCAGCACTCAGGAGGCAGAGACAGGCCTGGGAGTTCGAGGCCAGCCTGGTCTACAAGAGCTAGTTCCAGGACAGGCTCCAAAGCTACAGAGAAACCCTGTCTCGAAAGAAAAAAAAAAAAACCCAAAAAAATCTGTACAACAAGCTAATAGGGAGGATTGAGGATGGTTCATTTTAATAAAGTCAGAACTAGAAAATTCTGATGAGTCAAGAACTACAATTTTGTTTCTTCCATCTTCAGCTGATCATTTAACAGCTTATTATTAGTAACTTCTACTAATAAGAAAACCAACTGGATAAGTCCTTTGGTAAATGGCAGTCTTATAGAATGACTTGAATTAATAGGATCATTACAAGATTTACATGCAAATTGTAAGCCTGATACTAATTCTGCTGTGCAAAAAGGAAATACATTTTTAATGCCTTGTTCTCAATTTGTGTGTAGCCTGTAGAAAATGCACAGGAGCCTTTTATACAACTGATACCAATTCAGTTTTCTAAATTATTTTTCCTGTTTTTTTCTATAGTCAAAGAAAATGGGCTTTTCCCCTGTAACTCTGGCTGATTCCCAACTCAATAAGTATACCAGGCTCTCCTCAAACGTTTTGCTTCTGTCTCCCAAGCATTAGGATACAGACATTTGCCACTGCCTGGCAGTACCAAGTTTTTAGTGTGTGTGTGTATGTGTACACGCTAGGGATTAAACCTGGGCATTGTGCCTGCTAGGCAAGCATTCACAGAACTATATCCTAGCCCTTAAAAATTATTAATAATTTAGATAAAGTATTAGTCTAGACTAAATACTCATCCGGTTATTGAGTTTCCTTAGTAAGAAGTTGGTATTGCATAAGCATGGTAGCAGCTACCTTTATACTAGTAGTTGGTGGATAGAGGCAGGAGGATCAGGAGCTCAAAGCCAGCCTTAATTAACTACATAGTTCCAGGCCAGCCAGAGCTAAATGAGGCTGCAACAAAAAAAGCAATGAAATAAAAAAATTACTGCAGAATCAGATGTGGTGTAGGTATAGAGGAACCACACTGACATTACCAGGTATAAAAAATAAGCTCTTTTAAGCCTTTTCTTCAGCTGTATTGTGGTCTATTAGTGGGTCAAGTTCAGGCTGAAAATAGCCAAGCCAGCATCCCAAACATGTATGTATTCAACACCTGCATTTAAGTTCCACCGCAAACCTGGAGTGAGCGTACAGCAAATTCACCAAAACCTTCACACAAAGGTGCCGTTGATTCAGTTCAGAAGCATCTAACCCACACTGCAGGTGTTTGCATCAAATCTCAGCACTTATGAGCTAGTCAGATTCAAGTAAAAGATTGTTAACTGATTTTTCTGGCCTTGCTTCCTTACAGGGCCTTATTTCTCCATTCAAATTTCAATATAAAACTTTACCCAAATATTCATGTTACGTTCACTCAAGCATGATTTATTCACTCAAGTATAAGCACCTAGCTTCTCCCTCCATACATTTACAAGAAACTCTACCAGCTTCATAGATAACGTGATTAAATCTCCCTCATGATTATGGATATATCCCAAGAACTGGACTAGCATGTTTAGTCACTACATTTGTATTTGCTAACAGAAGCGGAAACAGTTAAACTGCCACATTTTTCACATTCCATAAAGCATCTCAGTCAATCAACTCTAAAAATACTTTTAAGTTTTCCAACAGATAAAGACTGAATCTTGGGACATACTGATGTTTCCACATGCAGGAAAAATTCATGTTGAGACATACAAACTTCACAGGAAAATTATGTTTTTCCATAAGTTATTGTTTTTATGTTCATTTTTTATCAAGTTTGACTTGTTCTACCAACTTCCCAATCAGTTTAGATTTTACTCAAGAATATAGATTATAACCTAAATAATTAGTGATTTTCCAGCTCTGTTCTTAATCCAAACTCACTGAACTGAAATACTGTTTTGCAGAGATACATTTACACTTGGCTGATTATTTTGCCATGTTACAAGACACACTGTTTCCATGTAACACCACCTGAGCCTGGGATTACCATGCAATAACTGGCCTCTTACCACTACATTATGGTGTAACTGGCATCCCTTTTCTTCTACATATATACGGTATCGTTACACTTTCTTTAAAAGGCATAGTTCCAATTTTCTATTTCGAAGTCAACAATTTCCCTGTCTTCCCAGCCACTGTCCCAACATGGAAATATGTCTGAAATGTTTAATTAGAAAGACTATCCAAACACAGGTCAATTTTATATAAAATATTTAATTTTTAAAACACAGGCTAGTCATGTCACATAAATAGTTCCACTTTAGGTTAGCTGCTTGTGGCCAGCAGAAGTGTCATGTGTGACGAATAAGAATAATTTTAGATGCTATCCCTTATAGTAAAGTCTGAAGTGCTAAGACTCACCATATTGTTTCAGAAACTTGAATACTCTATTTTGCTAAATTTCAAACCATTTCTTCACTTCCTAATGTTTTATTAGTTAGTACTCAATACTCAAAAAAAAGCAAAGTTTTTTCTTCCATTAATTTTGTTACACCAACAAAAATAATATCATCAAAAATAAAACGGTCAACTGAAAACTCATGTTATAGGCATAAAGTGAAAATTACCTTCTTTAGAATATCCTTACTGGTTCCTGAATCATGTTTTGAAATGCAGAGTCACAAATAGATACAGGGCATGAGGTTAAACTGGCTTGTCATAACAGTTTTCTCTATTTAAGATTCCAATTAAAAAGTGACTAGAACAGTTAAAATTGTCAACTGGCACACTGAACTTCCCAGAGTTTCTGAGTCTATTAGTGATAAGGGAAATGCTGGTTATTTACCTTTGGTTCCTTTCTAGAAATACAATTTTGTGTTCGTGTGTGAATGTAAAGCATAGTGAGACTTGACAACATTAGTTATTCTTTCTTGGTTGAGTTTAATAGAAGAAAAAACATTAAAACAACCTAGTAGCACTGCTCTAATCTGGCAGAAGTTACAGTAAATTTCACAAAATTCTCTGAGTTTTCAATTTGCTTTACTAAATTAAATCTAGGACATATTTCTACTTAAGTTGACTTTTAAAAATAATGACATAACTTAAGATATGGTGTTTGCCACCCTCCTTCTGTGAACTTTAATACATTTATTATGTGAATCATTATTACATACTTGCTTCAAAAATCCTGTCTTCCAAGTAGAAACTGGGTCAGCATGGCAGCCAGAAAGAAGAGAGAACTCTAAAATTTAGCCAGCTATTACTTTCAAACACTTAAGTGATAATGTTTTTTAGTATTTCTCAGAAGTAACAGAAGGTACTGCATTCTCCCTTTCTTTTCGCTTTTACCACTACCAAGAGAAGCTAACAGTGAAAGTTAACACAGGCAAAAGACAGGCAGAAAAGGACAGTGTGACAGGCAGAGGGAATGGACTTAAACAGAACTGGCCAGGCAACTCCTAAAAACTGAGAGCTTCCTGCTTCTTCAACACAATGCAGACTCCCTTAAAAGACAAGTGGGTGTACAGGCTAACTTCATCCTCAGTCCTTAAGCTTACCAGTTAAGGCACTTACTCAACCCCTCCCACCCTGCCCATAGTTTTCATATAAAAACCACTATTTCATTTAAATGAATTTTGCTGGGTTATGGTAACCTGAAAAACAAAACAAAAATAATGTTGACCATTTTTTATATAAAACTGTTGCATCAAGAGAAAGGTTGTGTTTTATTTTCTGAAATGAGCACAAAGTACACCTTTCACAATAACACTGAAAGCAGGTGCAAAGACTGACAGTGACCTTTGACTAAAGGTAGCTTTGTAAAAAGAAAATACCAAATAAATCAGTGCCCTTTCTGATTGTTGTAAAACTGGAAGGGTGAGGGAAAGGGTTGGTTGTTACATAAAAGTTGGTCCAAACTTACAAAAAAAAAAAGCACAAGTGTGCATAGTTCAGAAGATCTGCAACAGGGCCATAAAAACATTATGTCCCTAATGTTAGCATCCACTTAAAACTGCAAGAATACAAAATAAAACTGTTAACTAAAATCTGTGACGATGTACAATCAATAGAGCTAGTTTTAAGAACAGCATGAAATTAAGCGAAGTTTTTTTTTTGTTTTTCACTATTGTATGCAAGACCCTTTTCCACATAAAAATAAAGCTGTTGTTGAATTAATATTATTCAAGTCTCTTGGATTGCTGCCTGAAATTGCAGCTAGAAAAGTCTTTCCAGATAAAAATGATGTGCCTGAGGAAAAACAAGATACTCAGTATGGTAACCCTCTGCCTCGACCTCTGCCAGCTGATGTGCTAATGTGTCCTCTGTATCCTTGTGAGTATCCAGGTCCTTGGGCAGGAGAAGTCCAGGTCTGCCCATGCATGAGGCTAGGGCCACCTGGATTTTCCTGTAAGTTACCACCATAGTTATAGTTGTGCATCTTTGCTGGCAAGGGATGAGTACTCTCTGGCCCTGTGGAAGGGTCGCTGCTGTTTGTGAGGACTGCGATAGGACCGTGGCTATATTCAAATCTATGGTCCTTGTCTCCACTAAACAACATGGGGCCAGCATTGAGGTAAATGTCTCCATATCCAGCTACTGAACTGGGAAATGACTCGGAAAAGGCAGAAGCTTGAGGTGGGCCACCAGTGTGAGATGAAGCAGTACTGTAGTTCTCCAAAGACTGAATATCTGAGTTCCCAATGAAACTACGTGGTTCCAACGGTGCAGCAGCAGAGCTACTTCCTAGACCATCACTGCTAACATAAGGAGCGGCCGAGAAAGCAGATCCAAAGTTGTCCTTATAGTCTGAAGTGGGCACATACGTGTCTCCTGTGGGATAATCAATACCACCTTCTCTTTTGGGATCCTCCTGGGGCTGATGCTGAGCAAGCAGCTGTAAGAGGGCTGCCTTCACTCCAGCATGAGGGTCGGTTAGTGAAGAACTAGTGGTGGGTACATGCTGGTTTTCTGTCCGATAATCCAGGTCCTCATCAGTGACTGGTGGTGGTTCAGGAGGTTCAGGAGGTCGTTGATCAGGGGGCAGAATCCGAGGCCGGTCTGGTTCTGGTGTCAACTCCATTATCCTCCTGTCCTGGTGCTGGATGAGATCATCTTGCCCTAAGTGAAACAAAACCAAGTGTCAAAAGTTACTATAGAAAATGAAATACTCAGAAGGAGTGGTCCCAAGAATGATCAAATATTCAATGTCTAACAAATGTCAAATGCAAAAGGAGGTCTCACAAGTACCCATATTGCCCACCACCACTTAAACAAAAGGTCATTAAAGGAATACACTATTCAGCTTTCCAAAGGTACTCTCTATGTTCACATTTAAAGCTTGGGGAGTAGGTAACTACACACAATATTTATCCTTTTGTGTTCAGAACAAAGGGCTATTGTAAATTTATCTTATTTAGACAGTTATTCTTTTCTAAGATAATCATAAGGAATAATATCATAAACGGACAATTTGCTAACAATATATTCCAGGAAGTAAACTGAGTAGGTCACTATCACCAGTGACCTGAGAATGTCTTTACAAATGTCATTGAACAGTGAACACCATAGATAGCAACAACTACTAGCCAACCACTCACCAGATCCCGGAGTGCTGGGTTCTGGAGGTGGCCTGAGCTGTAAAGGAGCTTCATGTCCCGATCCATTTTCCCGCTCTTCTAGCATGACCTCTTTCTGCTTTGACTGCTGAGCCTTTATTAACTGAGTCAAGAGAACTGCAAATGCACTCTGCACAGCAGCCTGGGCAGCATCAGTTTCCACTTTAGGCTGGATGGTCTGTGAAGGCTGAATTCCTCCCAATGATTTTGAAGACTCCTGTTGTGGTGTTGATGGATCTGTCTGTTTTTCACCTGTTGCCAAAATTCCAGCAGGAAGGTTTATTTTATTTAGCTGCTGTTGAGTCTCAGAGTTTACCTTTATGTTCAACACTTGGACAAAATCAGCCATATTAACACTTGATTTAGATTGTAGTAGGTTTAGAAGAATTGCCAATTCATTGTGGTTTAACGGCTGTCCGGGGCCTGTTATTACTAAAGACAAAATGTATTAATTAGAACTGCCATAATTCATAGACTGTCCAACCCCCAAAATGTCTTCATTACACATCATTTAAATTACATTTGAGGAAGGGCGTTCAGCAATAATGTAAAAAGAGCACTTCACTTTATTCATCATGATGTTCAAAATCTAACTACAACATAAATTAAAACTACATTCTATTTTGGGTAATCATCTTTAGGAGTATATGTTTCAAAAGAGAAACCAAGACCATCAGACGACCATATGTGCAGATTTGAACCATCAGCAGTGAAGACAGCTGTTAGCAGTATCAGGTACTTTCTGCGCACTTTGTAGTTTTTCAGTCTAAAAGAGTGCATAACTTGCCAAAGGGCCTGGATTCTGAAATCCTTATCAGGCTATACTGCTCTCAAAAGTGAAGTTAACTTAGAAATTAAAACTAGAATGTTTTGCAGAAAATGAGAAAAATCTCTGTATTTTTATTCAAATTACTTAAGCAAAAAGTTAGGGCATTTTGAGTTAGAAAGGCCTACACAAACATGCATATTGCGTATTAACTCATTACCAGTAAGGCACATCTAGTTTTTTTCTTTGTCCAATATTCAGTCTAGAACAGGCAGATTCCTGGGTTCTTGAAGGAAACTGAGATTTCGTTTTATAAAAGCTGTCAACTAGCCAAGCATGGTGGCACACATCTTTAATCCCAGATCGTGGGAAGCAGAGATGGGTGGAACTTTGAGTCTGAGGCCAATTTGGTTATAAAAAAAAGTTACATGACAGCCAAGGCTACACAATGAAACCCTACCAATAAATAGATAAATATGAATGAAAGAAATAACTGGGTATAAAGTATTCTTTTAAATAGCAGGTTCCAATCTTTTAAAATATAGCTTCTTAGTAAGGATGATGTAAAGATATCAATCACTGGGCTAAAGTACTTCTATTGCTGTTTTGGCTGTCTTCCTATGTTTTCTATGCCTTAAGCATCCATAGACATTAAATATTGAACTTCACAGACTAGTGTTAAAGAAACGCAAACTGACTCCTGAACTAGGGAAACAAAGAAAAAGAAAAAGAAATCTGACCAATCATGACAAATGCATGATGAGATTGCTTAACACTATAGTGTGAGCAGCAATGTGACCTTTGTGCTGGCACAAACAATAAAAGAATGTCAAGCTCACCAGAGAAGCTTCAGCATTTACCTTTCTGCCATAATATTCAAGCAGAACACATTCAACACAGGTCATGAAGCAGTATGAACAAAATAAGCCACAAAAACATTACTGACCAGGTGCTACACTTGAGTTGCTTTGAGATTTCAATTGTGCAGGAGGCAGCACACCCTGGGGTGTATTAGTTCTACTGTCATCTAAGCCCAGAGACAGATCCTTTCTGGGGGCTTTGATTGTGGAAAGATCATCAGTCATGCCCATCTGTTTCTGTCTTCTTCGCTTTTTACTCCATAATTCATGACAATCTTGCCACAAAGGAAGGCTGAAAAACATAGATGAATACTAAATCACAAATGCCATAACAAGAAATGCTAATGTTACAATGTACCACTAAAGATATTCCCCTCCCGCAAACCATTCTGGAAGACTTCATACACATACATACATACATAAATACACACATACGTAGATACATACATACATACATTAGTAAAATTCCATCATACTTCAGGGTTTTAACTTTAGCAATGGAATATTTTTCTTTTTATTATTTGTCCTAATTTTTATTGTTTAAAAATTTTATTCATGCATATAATGTCTGATTAAGTACATCCCACCTGCCCTCCCCTCAAGTTCCTTCCCTATCTCCTCTAAACCTCTATTCTCTCTCTTAAAACTCACTAAATCTACTTGGTGCTACCAGTATGTCCACGGATAAAGGGCTACCTGCAGGAACAGGAGTGAACTCTACAGAGGCCACAGCCCTGAAGAAAAAGGTGACTCTCCCTTTCACAGCAGCCATTAACTGCCAATTTCTCCTCAGCTGAGAGTGGCCTTTATGACCCACTCCCTCCCACCAACTGAGATTCTGTCTGACTTGATCCCGTGTGGGCCTAATGCATACAGTCCCAGCTGCTTGTGCATTCACACGTACAAGTGCCCTGTTGTAGAGATGACCTAGTTTTGTCTTCTGAATAATCAATAAGTAATTGTTCATTGAAATTATGAAGAATGCGTATTAGTTAAAATCTGGCTATTACCTTTCATACAACCTTTTATAACCAGTTCTTATAGCACACTGTACACTGAACAGGATTTGAAAAAGGATGAAGAAACACGCTATTTGTAGAAGCCAGACATAAAGGAGAATAAAAGCTAGAACATAAGATTTCTACAAAACTTTTTAGTAAAACTTTTCTTTCACTTTTTAGTTACATATTTACTACTATTACCAATTGCTTTTAAAATAAACTGATTCTAAAGATGAGTCTCGAGAACAGGTAATCCAGACACAGAGAGGCTCATTGCTTATCAACAGAATTCTGTGTGATTAGTAACTACCAAAATTACCTCTAATTCTAGAATAATTTTTCATTTTAATATAATTCTATAACACTGAACACTAGTAAATAACTTTTCCTTAAAGACAAATACTTGATTTACAAATATTTTCTTTTTATCCCAGTTACAAAGCTCATGGAAACTTACTATCACTTTTCTCTAGCTTAAAGGTGAGAAAACTAAGGCTTGGAAAGGTTAATAAACTTGCCCAGAATATCTAGATTTTTTTAAGCAATACCATCTAGTAATATACGCCTATTCTCAACTTGATGTTTACCAAGAGGTACACAATGTCTTTCCAAGGTGTACCTGAGGTAAAGGGACTTCATTTCCACATGGACTCTTTTCAAACTAAGCTAGAAGAATGCCCTGAATGCTCACGTAAATTCTTCCACAATTACTTTCTCATATTATAAAATAAAGGCATATGCAACAGAATGCTTGAATCTTAGCAATATAGTATTACTAAAAAATGTCATTTCCACAGGATTACAAAACAGCATGATACCTTTGTATAAAATGAAAAACAACTACATTTTTTAAATGTAATTTTTTATGAATACATACAGATGGCAACAGAAAATATATACAAGAATAAGGAAACAGGAATGATGGTTACCTCAGGAGGAAGAGGGTAACAGAACACGTAGGTAGGAGGAGGGATTATGATATGATTAAAGTGGGTTATTTTCAAGGTTCTAGGCTTTTGCTTGGTAGGCTCATGGCTGCTTATTAACATTTAAAAAACTAATTAAAGTAACTAAAATAAATAAAAGAGAGCCATGCATGGACCAATGATGAGTGACACAAGGATCATGATTAAACCAAGTCTGTGCACCTGAGGTCTGAAAACAAAACGAAGGCATACCTCTCAGCCATCTTACTATGGTGCATTGCCTCAGCGTGCAAAAACCTCCTGGATAACAAACAAAGGGACAATTGGAAAGGTTGACACTGGGAAGCTTTAAGGCATCAAAAACCCTCTAAAAGACTTTCCTTTTTGGGACTGTGTTTGTGTTTTATGATGTGTGCTTCAGCCTCTGTTGGGATGTTGATTTCAAATATACTGTAGTACTATAGATTAGGGTAAATTAAATCGTTCATTACACCTCCTCCATTATGACAGCCAAGAAATACAATACTCTTATGGAAAAGCAAAGAAATCCAGGAAAAGGATTTGTTCCCTCCCATAATTTAAAGAGATTCATTATGAATGAATTACCTTAACACTCATCTCTACAAAATATAAACATAAGTTTATGATAATCTAATTAATGACACTGATTCTCCAAACAAATCAGGCATGGTCTCCAGATAATCAAAAGTATGTACTTCCTTGAAGGTTCAAATGCTGGCTCAGTCACTTAATTTGTCAGGCAAGTTACTGGACCTCTGTATCACAGTTTTTCTTTAAAAATGGGATTAACAGTTATTACCTATTTCTTGGGGACAGACATAATATGTTAATGTCTATCAAGGGCAAAGCACTGTATTTGTGATTGATATCACTGACTTATCATCGTTCAGTGGTCTAAAAGTAGTTTATCAAGACATATCACGAAATATTTAATTATAGATGGCCATATTATTGTGCAAGTGTTTAATGGTTTTAATATTGTTAATAAGCCATAAGCCATCAGCCATCTAAATCACTTTTTAGTTACATAGTTATATAATACTATTTTTTTTGTTTCGTGTTTGTTTCTTGACAGGGTTTCTCTGTGTAATAGCTCTACCTGTGTAGACCATGCTTTGTAGACCAGGGTAGCCTCAAATTCACAGCAATCCAACTGCTTCTGCCTCCCGAGTGCTGGGATTAAAGACATGTGCCACCACTGCCCAACATATAAACTTTTTAAAGTTACAAAGACATCAGAAAAGTTGATAAATATCCACTACATATTAGTGGAATTATTTCTGATTTAATACTTTTACTCATTTGTTTTTTCTAAAAAAATAAAATATTTTTTCAACAATTTGATTATTTTAAAAATGTATCAAAAATGTTAGCCATATACTTATTTTTCAAAGGAATACCACCGCTATTTCATAGTTTTCTTATAAAGTAGAGGGTATTACATGTGGTTTAAAGAACTTTATTTAAATATAGTATCAATGCAATGAAAACCTTTGGCCTGACTGCTTCAGTGATGTATCTAAGTGCAAACACAACATAATAGTTTCACAGAATATCCATTAAGTATACTGCTATTTACTTTTTAATAGAAAAGCACAGTGAAGCATATTCTGATAAAAATTAAAGTTGAGTTACTGGACCTTGTTTGACAAGAATTACAGTTTGTAACAAAAACAAAACAAAACACGCACAAATATATGAAGGCATAGAACAAAAACTGGTAGAGCCAGTAAAAAAAAATTAATAAATATCTAAATGAGCTTTCAGGTCCTTACTGTCAGGAGATCTGCAGGGGAAAGACTTCAAATGATCTTATTTTTTTCTTTTGTTTTTTAATTTGTGTGTGTTTGTCTGTGCAACATGATGTCCACAAAAGTCAGAAGAGGGCACTTTATCCCCTGGAACTGGAGTTTTATATAGTAGTGAAATCACCATTTGGGTGCTGGAAACCAAACCAAGGTCCTCTGCAATGAATAATCTTAACCACTGAGCAATTGTTCCAGTTCCTGATCTCATTTTCTTTTCTTTTTTTAAATAAAAGACTTTTTGTTTGTTTGGGTTGTTTGTTGTTGATGATGCCTATTTGTTTTGTTTTTGAGACAGGGTTTCTCTGTGTAACCACCCTGGCTGTCCTGCTTGCTCTTTAACCAGGTTGGCCTTGAACTCACAGAGATCCACGCGCTTCTGCCTTCTGAGTGCTGGAATTAAAGCATGCACCACAACTGCCAGAAATAAAAAAAGCTCTTGATACTTATTGTGGAAGGAGTTTAAAGACAGTGCTATAGCTATGCACAACTCCTTTCAGTGACTGCTTATTTGCAAGGGCATTTTTGAAAATAAAAAGCAATATATAATTAATGTGGAACTATGTCTCAATCTACAGTAAATAGCACTGATTCAGAGATATGTAAATTACTACATGAATTACTTAGAGGAAAAGATCTCAGCCCGATCACTTCTAATAGACTGCATAGCTAACAAAATTAATTGATGGTTTTAATCGAAATGTTTACTACTAATACAGCACAAAATTACCATACTAACATTCATACATAGTACAGTATAAGAAATGTTTTAAAATTAAAATCCATTGGTAGATATAGCCTGTTTTTAAAAAGTACAATACCATGATTAATATACTAGTTACGTTACAATAAAAATGTAAGAAATGGAAGTTCAAGATCAAAACAGTACAATGTCCAAATGCTGAAGATTTTCTAAGCTACTATACACACAACTTGAAAGGCCTCAATATATAGACTCCGGTGGATACATTTACAAGATTAATGTAACTGAAATACTTAAAACTGTTAATTAAAAATTCACTATTACATCTTTTGCAACTTGTAAAAGTGGTTTCAGAAATTAATCAACTCCAAATAAGCTTGATATAGTTTTATGAGAATCCTTTCATGTGGACTATGTTATCAGAATTGCACTACCAATAACAGGACAAAATCTTATTATATTTTTGTTGAAGAACTCTACCAGGAAACACATATTACCTTGTAGGTATTATTCTGGCACTGAAAAATACTAATCTAATCGTGATTACAGAAAAGCAATCAAAATAAGATTTGGGGATGTTGGCTCTTATTAGGACTGAAGATGCAGTTTAGTGGCAGCACTTGCCTGGTATGTGAGGCCCTGGGTTTGATGTCCACTAAAAAAAGAAGTCAGTGTCATCAAAATCCTCTAAGGGTGACAAAAAAGTGAAGCGATGTGAGTTCTGAACGAATGGTTCAACCGTGACTCCACAGGAAGTTTGTAAAAAAAAAAAAATGTTATTGGACGATTGGAGAGACTTTAATAAGCACTATTATAGGATGTATAGCGAAGTTCTAGTTGTTATAGATTCATGCAATAACTTATATTCAAGTACTTCAGAAAAAGTTTATAAAGTAACAAAGCAAATGTGTTCACATGTCAATAATTACTGAATATATAAATGCTCGTTTTCCTATTCTATCTTTCTGTAGAGATGAAAATGCAAAATCAAAAGTTGAGAGAAAAAAAGTCACTTTGATAGGTGACTATAGTCAAACCACTTGGAAACTACTGATATATTCTAAATAAACGAAAGAACCACAAATACTAAACACATAGTTCAATGGTATCTGATCCAGGTATGGTGGTGCAAACCTATCATTCCAGCACTCAAGAGGCATAGACAGGAGGAAATTGAGTTCAGATCAGCCTGTACTAAACTGAGTGTAGTACAACCAAACTCTGAGTCAAAAAAAAAAAAGAAAAAAAAAAGTAAAAAATAAAAACAGAAACAACAGAAAACCTAGTGAATGATTCAGTCGTTCTGTATGTCAGATGATAGTTACTCTTTAACTTACAAATTATCCCATGGGCCATTTATATATAGTTCAATATAATCTTAATGGAGTTTATCATGACAAGCCCTATGAAAATAAACTCCATGTAAGTGGAAGAGCCAGAATTTGAACTCTAAAGCTCATGCTTATTCGTTAAAAATATGTGCATTTTATTAAACAAAAATATTTTATTGGAGACAGGCTTGCTTTGTAATGCTGTAATGATCACGTTAAGAGTTACCAAGGAAATACCTACAAAACTTTAGACCCTATCATGGAGAGGCAAATGGACTGCCTTCTTCCCAACCAACCCTAGACAAATTACAGAAGCTGTAAGATGATACAAGAAATCAGCTATCCTGATTCCCCAAACTATGCATTTTCTTTCTATGATCTTACTCATTGCAAACATTCTTCTAGGTAATGTTAAGGATTTTCTATTGTACAGAATATGTTACAGAGTATTTTCAGATCTTATTTCTTATAAAACTGACTTCAGTTTGAGAGGTGACACCACCCTTTACCATATTTGTATTCTTGGGCAAGTTTTTTAACCTCTTTGAGCCTGCTTCCTCCTCTGTTAAGCAGTGGTAATAATAACAGTAATAATAATAATAATACCTACCTTAAAGGGTTGTAAAAATTAAGCTTAGCACATCACTCAAAAGCTTCTGCTAAAGCAGGACCACTAGAGGCCAAGTTCCTGATGGATGTACTCCACCACACTGAGGGGTTCTTATTCTTAGAGGTGAAACATAACACTATCCTATAGCAGCTAAAGAAACACTAAGGGCTGTTTTTGCTGTTCTACTGTAAACTCAATAAACAAGCACCTGCACTCTTGATGTGCAAATACTTTTCTCCTGTTTTACCTAACTCAACTTAGTCACAGGATATCTTCTGCTCATGACAACTAACTAACAAAGTTTTCAAGGCTGTCCAGATTCTGCAAAAATAAAATCTAAAACAAAAGAACGTCACTTACTCTGGCGGAGGCATTTTGGAGGGTTCCACATCTCGTAGAAACTCACACTGAAGAGCCTGCTCAGCAGTGCACCGCTTACTGGGATCCAAGGCAAGCATGTAATCAAATAAGTCCAGCGCAGCTGCAGGGATACTAGCACCAGAGGACACAAAAGTCAAGCACTGTCTTCACACAAGCTCTATGCTTCTGTGAGCACTTATTTTAAAGAAATGTATTTGGCATCAAATTTGAAAATTAATTTAAAATTGTATTTTAAATACCAACTTCTTACTCTGATTACCTGTATCTTTAAAATCCTCATTACTTTGTTATTAACTAATAAATTCATGCAGGTGATGAATATCTAAAAGCTAATGTGATAATCAATTGAAGTATTATAACTATCAATTTTCTTTGCAAGAACTATTGTTATTTTTGGACTGTTTAGCAAACAGCATCTTTTATTACTCTATGAGCAATCCACTGTCATAAATTAAAAACTGAATAGCCTCCTAAAATAAAAACCTAAACTCAAGACTCTTTAAAAAAATTTATAACACAGTTATTAAAGTTTTCTCATGTAAACAAATACAGCGAACTGGCCCAGTTATTGACTCTGGAGTGTAGTAAAGGCCTCTCTATGCAGCAAAGGGAAATGGGCAACACAAAGCGCTAGAAGCACAGCTGCAATACGTCTGTCTGGGTCACTATGACAGAATTCTTAAGAAACGACTCTCAACTGTGTGTGCTAAGGTACACCCATATTCTCAGCACCTAACAGTCAAGGTCAAGAAAGAGTTCAAGGTCAACCTCAGATATATATAGAGAATACAAGGGCAGTTTGTAAAACTTTGATTCAAATAGCAACAAAAGACAAAAACCAAACAAAACAAAAAACCTTAAACCTCAAAATGACTTCAAAATAAACAATCAATGCAATATGGATATTTAAGCATCCGTTTCTTACAAAACAAATTCTTCTCTTAACTTTCGCCGATATTGCTTCTTTGGTTTCATGGTGTTGAAATATGGCAGTTTGATTACATCAGGCCACACTGCAGGACAAGGACTCCCACATATACGGCTATACAAAAAAAAAAAAAAAGGAATTTTATAATTACAAACTACATACAAAAACCAATAAATACCACCAGTATTTAAAAGAAAATCAAGTAGTTGTTAAGAATACAAAAGACCTTCATATAATGTATAAGAAGTTTAAATACTTTAATCTTCACAATTTAATTTGAAAATCCCCAAACCTTCCAGAAATACATTTAATCTAGTAAAGAACCTTCCTGTTAAATAAAATCTTACAACACGGGTGATGTTTAGGATATACTGCCTATGTGTTACAAATTAAGGAAATGAATTTAGTATATGTCTCACTCTGGTTTGGGAGTGTTGGCATGGTCTCCTCTCACAAACATAGCCTGGTATTAACAGCAGAAACGAACTTCCTAAATAACTACCTCTAGATACAAACAAGAGCACCCTGAAGGTAGTTAAGTAGACTTGAAGTATGCAGTTCTGCGGTTTTAGCAGTGCCACTGGTCACAAGCATTTATGTATTTCAATTGCTCTACTCTTTGACCACCTTGAAATTCCTCAATAGTTTGGTATAAACACAGGTAATAATACTGGGAAAATAGGCTTTAGTATATAAAAATCACAAGATTATATGGATATCATTAGTAAAACTGTCAGTAAGGCTTACCATGTTAAGAAAAAAAGGGCACAGGCTCATTCACATGAAGCTCATCCCCTCTCAGAATGCATCTTTTCCTAGACTGCTCCTTCATTTCTGCTAGATTCTAAGAAGCTGTGCCCTCATCAGACTACTGAACAAGGTCTTTTCTTCCCAAAACTATGCAGAATGGACGTTCCTTCACATGCTATCTGTTTCTTTAGCATTTGTGTCATCCTTTGTGTTCTGGCTACATGGCTAGGTGGATCTCTTGGTTCCTGGCACATGCATGCACATTAATAATACAGAGTATTCTGGAATACAGAGATGAAGGGCACTTTCAACTCCTGACATTAAAGAAAAATTAAGTGAGAGAAAAGATGAAGATTTTTGGCTATAGTTCTAACTATAAATCACAGCCAGGTGGGAGAGAGTAAGAGAAATATGTTACAGGCAGAGAAAAAAACACGTGCCTATTAACACACAAACACAAGCTAAAGAGTTTCAAATGTTTTCTTATATGCACTACTGAAAAAAGTAAGTACTAAAGTTATCAAGAGCAGCATACAAGACCCCAAAATTCTTGATAGTCTAAACCTAAAAGCTTTACATTTCATTTCCATCCTGGCAATAATCTATTTTATCCCTCCCCCCTTTGCTATAAGACCTTGTGTTTCCTATTGACAGCTTTCTCCCCACCCCCTCCACCAGAGACAAGGTTTCTTTGTAGTTCTGGAGACTATCCTGGAACTTGCTCTGTAGATCGGACTGGTCTCAAACTCACAGAAATCCGCCTGCCTCTGCATCCTGAGTACTGGGATTAAAGATGGGCACTTGGTCTTTTTTTTATTATTTTTAGCCCATTGTATTTTCTAAGCAGTTAATCTGGAAATATATAGGAAAGGTTCAAAATTGAAGCTTTACAGATTTACAAAACACACACATGCAGAGTTAACCAATTCTCAAACAGTGCTAAAATGATGATGATGGCACATTATTAGGCAATTTTGATATCTAGTTTTAACAGAAATGCTTTCAATTTAATCTCTTGGAAAGCTGGTAAATGTTAGTTTGAGAAACACAGAATATACATTGAAATATATTAACAAACACAGATAAAAGTTCCCACATAGCTCCTATTAAGAACTATTCATTGAGCCATCTGTGGCTGTACACACTCCTTAATCTTTGCACTTGAGAGCCAGAAACAATAGATCTGATCTCTGAGTTCAGACAGACTGGTCTACTTAAACTATAGGCCAGTCAGTGATGAAAAGTAAGTCCCCACCCCATGTATGTGTACTACAAATATAAATTTGGGGATTCCTATCCCTTGGACTCCAAGGTACTCTCAGTATGACATACAAATATGCCATCGCCAAACATTGTGCATGCTGGGCATAGTTGTCACATTCCCATAATCCCAACATTTGGGAGCCGGTAATATTATCACAACCTTGAGGCCAATCTGGTCTACAAAGTGATTCTAAGGCTAGCTAAAGTGAAATAGTGAGGCTATGTAATTGGCTCAAAAATTAAAAAAAGAATTTTTAAGCCAAATTACTGACTTGCTATCCTCTATATTACAGCCTATTGCCCACACATTAACTTCTTTGCTTTATAGAGTTCTCATGTACTTCCACTAATTCATATATATTATATGAATATATAAATTCAAGTAGTTTCGTTATTGTAATTTTGTTTGAATAAGCTGTGTTATACTCTCATATTCTTAAAAAAGTCCTCTGGTTCTTTTCTTCTTAATGTCCCCAACTCCCTTCCTAATTATTTCCAAATTTATCCTCCCACAGATAGAAAAAACAAAAACAAGTGTTCAGTGTGAAAACCAGTGTTTGGAAATGCTGGCTATACTGTAAGGTAAGACAAAATGGGACTGGAGAGCTGGCTCAGCAGTTAAGTGCATGTACTGCTCCTGCAGAAGGCCAGATATTCCAATACCCTCTTTCTGGACTCCCTAGGCTCTGCATGTCTATGATATACACCCATCCATATAAAATTTTAAAAAACAATGTTTTGGGTTTTTTTTTCTTCAAATCAGTTTCACCATGTAATTCTGGCTGTCCTGAAATTCATGAAACAGGCCAGACTGAACTCAAACCCAGAGATCTGCTTGCTTCTACTTCTGGAGTGCTAGGACTAAACGTATGTGTCACTACACCCTGCTGGTATATACAATGAGTGAGAGGGACAATATAAAATGGGGCTGGAGAGATGACTCAATGGTTAAGAGCATATGCTGTTCTTGTAGAGGACCCCATAACTGAAGGCTCACAACCACCTGAAACTCTAGCACCTTTGGCACTCTTGGAGAACTTACACACATGTACACAAACCCACATACTTAAAAATAAAAATAAACATAAAAGAAAACAACATTTAAGAAAAGATAAACTGTCATTTTAAAAAGTCCTTTAAAGCCTAATAATCAAAATCAAACTATACCTTTCCAACAGTCATTTAAAACTATTTTAGTTTTTAATTATGCATATTGTATGGATCTGTATATAAATTTGTGCATATAAATATGATGCCCTGTGGAAGTTAGAACAGAGTTTCATATCCCCTGGAACTGTTATTATAAGCAATTGTTAGCTGTTTGATGTGGGTGCTAGGAATCAAACTCAGATCCTAGGCAAGAACAGCAAATGCTCTTAACCACTGAGTCATCTTTCCAGATCCTTCTGCAACAGTTTCTAAAATCTTAAAATTTTAAGATTATGGTTTTTCAATATTACAGATGCACATACACTGGCTATTTTATCAGAAGGATGTCCACCCACCCCACTGTATTTTCTAGTTGGTATACATATTTAAAAGCTACTGTTTTCTTTTACAGATAAGTATATGATAAATATATTTTAATATATCATGAGGTTTTTTTGTTTTCACACAATTTTAGGCAATTACTGGAAGGCAATTTTTCTTTTCCCCCTTTTCTCCAATATTCTATCATTAGATATTATTATGGCTATTAGTGATATAATTTTTACTATATTTAATACTCCCTTATACTTAAAGAGCTTCCCCCCAGCAAATACTTATTCAAATCTATTAAATAAAGAGATTGTGCCATTTCTACTAAAATGACAAATTACAGCAAAAATATTTATCCTAATATTTCCTTGTATTCTTGAGATGAACCTTATTTATGTTAATGCTATAAAACATTTTAACATTTTTATTCGTTCTTTTAAAAGTTCCTACATGAATACAATGTATTTTTATCATAATAAAGTTCTTTTTTTTTAAAAGGATAGGTAGTTTTTGCTGCTATTGTTGTTTTTAATAAATTAGTTTTATTTTATGTGCAGGTGTCAGATCCCCTTCCCTGGAGTTATAGACAGTTGTGAACTGCCAATTGGGTGCTGGGAATCAAACCTGGGTCCTCCAGAAGAGGAACCAGTGGTCTTAACTGTTGAGCCATCTCTACAGCCCTCATGATAAAGTTCTTAATGAAAACCATAATACTGTTTGCTTTATCTCCTTCAGAAATCTCAAATATAGAAAATTTTAATAATGTCTTTATTAAATATTACTGCTGGTACATCCTATATAAAAAGTTCCAGAAGTCCCATTTCTTGCATGGATACAATGGTTAATTCAAAGCTCAATCTTTCCACTTATTAACTTGAAAGACCCTGAATAAATTCACTTTCCTAAGATTTAGCTTTTTAAACTAAACAGAAGACACTGAACTATATAAGAAAATTTAACTGAAATAATTCAGCCAAGAAGACTAGAGCAATGCTTCTTTTGAAAACTAGCTCCAGCATCCAACAAATCAGTACCAACAATTTAAAAAAAAAAGGGGGGGGGTTTAGAGGGAATCATAGTAAAAGAAAATACACAATACGTAATTTAAGGATTTATTTTCTAGCCTGCCAAGGCTTCCTCTTTGAAGAAGATACGTTGAATAGAACTCCATATCACTAACTTGTACATATCATACCCACAACAGATCATTGGCATTTAGCTATGGTCTCTATTTGTTGCATTTAAGTATAAAAATTAAAAGCATTTTCAATATACTAGCATAATAATCCTTTTCTTTTTACTTTTCTTTCACATATGAAATTGTTGCTTATTGCTAACTAGTGAACAATGTTTTAAGGTTTCTGAGAAATACTGATTCTATGTTTAACTAAACTACATAAAACAACTTAAAAAAATTCAACATCCACCCACCTCTTGATATTCACATTTCTTAACTGAGTAGGATAAATATGTACCCTTACTAGAAAGTTCCAGGCTACTAACCCCATTCTTTTAGCATGCCATATCTTCAAGATAATATTTCCTGAGGAATATAGAAAATAAAAGTATGAAACAGAAAGTTGGGAAACTGTTACATAATAGTTTAAGGAACATTGTAACTAATGGTTATATAAATACTTAACAAGAATTTACCACTAACATGCCCAAGCCTGGTTCTTCAACGTAATACTTCGATAGTGTTATTTTATATATTTAGGGCTTTCTAACATATTTAAAATTATGCTTTGTGAATTAAATGATTTCATCGTTTTTATTTTCTTTATATCTGAAGTAATTTTCCCTATCAAAGTCTTCATTCACTGAATTTCTTTTCACATTCATAAGTTACAAAATTTACATGGTGCATATGTATAAATAATCCCAAAATGAAATCTTGGATTTATTCATAAAGTTCTACATTTTCTGTATTGTAGCTCACTAAGTATTTTTCATTCCCTGGTTTTATTTTGCTATTCCAGTTTGTCACCTGCATGCTCACTTCATTGTTTCCATTCTTACTTATACAATATAGTCGTTGACTCGCTTAACAACAGGAATCTTAAGTGCACTGTCAGGTGATTCTCTCATCGTATAAACATCAGAGGGTGTACTTAAATCTACTTCGTAAAGGCCAATCACTTGATGTGGCTTCTTGGTACAATCAAAAGAGGCAGTTATTTTAGGTTGCAGCCAGTAACATGGCATATTGTTTTTACAATAAACATACACTAAATAAATAAAGCAGGAGTGGTTTATTACCATTAGTAAGTATTGTGTACTTAATGATTGTGGTAGTTTGAACATAACTGGCCCCATAAGCTCAGAGAGAGTGGCACTATTAGGAGGTGTGGTCTGTTGGCAGAAGTGGGGTTAGGCCTTGAGGTCTCCTGCGCTCAAGTTATACTTAGTTCAGTTCACATCTGTCTGTCAGTTCCTGCTGTCTGCAGATCAAAGATGTAGAACTCTCAGCTCCTTCTCAGCACCATGTCTGCCTGCATGCTGCCATGTCTCCTCATGATGATAATGTCCTGAACCTCTGACTTGCAAGCCACCCAATTAAAGGTTTTTCTTTATAAAAGTTGTTGTGGTCGTGGTGTCTTCACAGCAACAGAAACCCTAACTACCATAATGACTGTATGTGCTATGCTTACAAATGACTAACACAGTAGAGTGGGCAGCCCAAACTGTAAGCCATCTGTGCAACACCATGTTAAAAATAACTCTGATAGCATTGGTTGGTAGCAATTTTCAGCTTTATTGGATCACCACTGTCCATACAATTTGTGGCTGGCCAAAGCCAACCAAACAGCACACAATTGCATTGACGGCCATGATTTTCTCCTAAGAAAATATTTAAACCATGACATTTTTATGTTTGATGTACATAATTTGATTTGTCAATGTATGTCTCAGCAGGCATGTCCATGTGTAGTGGCAGATGTCTGGAGAGGATAGCTTTCAGAAATTAGTTCTCTCCTTCCATCATATTGGTCCTCTGGTTCAAACTCAGGTCACTAGGCTTTGTGGCAAGTGTCTTTTCTTTACCCATTGAACCACCTCCCCACACGTACTGCTCTTTTTTTTTTTATTTGAGCCACCATCTGTAATTCTTTTCTTTTTAATTGAAAAAAAAAATTTCCGCCTCCTCCCAGCCTCCCATTTCCCTCCCCCTCCTCTCCCCCTCCCCCCACTCCTCTCTCCCTCCCTCTCCAATCTGAAGTCAGGGTTCCCTGCCCTGTGGAAAGTCCAAAGTCCTTCCCCCTCCATCCTGGTCTAGGAAGGTGAACATCCAAACTGGCTAGGCTCCCACAAAGCCAGAACATGAAGTAGGATCAAAACCCAGTGCCATTGTCCTTGGCTTCTCATGAGCCCTCATTGTTCGCCATGTTCAGAGAGTCCTGTTTTAACCACGCTTTTTCAGTCACAGTCCAGCTCTTTTTAAAATATGGATTTCCTTCATTTTTGCATTCTAACTTTGTTCTATTTTATTTGAATATATTCTACTTAATTCTTTGGTAATTCTCACTTTTGGTGTATCCGAATATTTAATTAATGCTTATAAAAGTTTATATAAAAAGCACTGAAAAGTATACTTGGAGCAACACTTCCTCTTGATTCTAGTTCACTTGTTTATCTAACAAAAAGTAAAGATAAAAGCGTGATGTGTTCCTGGTAAACTGTGTACCTGCTTTGGTTTGTAAGTTCCTTAAATTTCATGTGTTAAAAACTTAACCCCAAAGTCCAATGTTAATGGAATTTGATAAATACTGTGGGGTGGGAAAGTCAGTAGGACTCATTAGTGACTTACTGCAGGGCCATCTCTATTATAAAAACTAGCCTCTGCTTAGCTTTGTCTGTCTCTCCCTGTGTCATCTTAGGGCTTTGCAGAGTTTGCTATTAATAAAAGGACCTTGCCATCCATAGCTTCTCAATCCTGAACTGCCTTGAGAATCATAAGCTGAACTTCTATTCAGTATGTATTATCTAGCCTATGGCATTCAGGTAGTAACAAAAGGAAACAGGTTGACACACCCCTTTATCTTAATCATTTCATTAAAAGTTCCATGTCTGGACACTGGTGGGACATGTGCTTCAATTTTATGAGGCAACTGGCTGCCCGGGAATTGAAGCAGTGCTAGTTTTGACAAGGGTACTTTTGCCTATAGTGGGTACATTATCCCCAGAGAGAAAAGGCTCTAACATACCTTTTTGTTTCTATTCTGTGCTCTATAGCAGCAGAAGAAAAAAATAATCTGATTTAATCCCTGAAAAGAACAATATTAAAGTTTGGGGGGGGGATATCTTTTTTCTTTTGAGGGGAGAATTAAGAAGTAGCTAAACTCTAACCCTGTAATGAACTTCTCCAAAGGCAGAATATCCATTCTCCAGACCTTCTCCTTTGATTAAAGTATTTTCTTTCTAGATGATATCTTTCAAATTTTTAAGATGAAGTTGGGAATCCTTCTCTGGTTATTTATTGTCTGTTGCTTTATATTTGTTAGAAAAGAGAAATGGTGTAAATTCGTGTCTCCTTTAAAATTCTCTATCAAAACACCTCATTCTCACTGATACTTTCATGCACATCTCCGAAGTTCTAAATTTACACTGTTATAAAGAAAACCAAACTCTTTTAAAAAATAAAAGAATTTAAAACTTGGTGAGATACTTTATACCTGTAATTTCTTTAGAAGCTAAGGCAAGAGAACTTCTAAGAGTTCAAGGTCAGCCTAAGCTACATAGTAAGCTCGAAGCCAGCCTGCCCTAGAATGTGAAATCTGTTCTTCATAGGAAAAGAAAAAGACAAAACAAAACAATTCTCGTAAAAAGCAATATAAACAGAAAGTTGACTAATGTGTATGAGTTAACTGCTTGTGAGTTATATCCTGACAGCCTACAAAAAAAATGACATACGTTGGTATGTACACACACAGATTCGGATATGCACACAGACACAGGTAAATGTAAACTTACCATGTGTACACAGAATGAAGTATTTTTTCTCCCACCTCACATTACTCTTCCTTCTCAGTCCTATCAGGGACTAAGTGCTGTGATTTAATCCATCTCTTCATCACAAAAACACCATAACAAAGACAGGAACAAACAAAAACATCTTTAAAATCCCTAGTTTTACCGGAACCAGTATCAGAGGGCTCACACTCTAGTTTGACCTCCTTTTAGTAGTCACTAGACTTCAAGAGAACCATGCTGCTCGCCTGAAGAGACAAGCCTGAAATGAGTTCAATACTCTGTGGAGCATGAAGTCATCCATACCCAAAGCTGTCACCAGCTGCTTACCTTATTAGCTCCAGCTGTGCGAGTTCCTGATTTGCTTGAAATATAGGCTTTTTAGTGAAGAGTTCACCAAGGATACATCTAGTAGAGAAAAGTAGAACTGTCATTATTAAATTTTCTCATCTGAACTCACTATAAAACTTTTTTAGTACCATAAGCCAATGTTCCTATCTTACCCACAGCTCCATACATCAATAGCTGGTGTATATCGTTCTTCTCCCAAGAGCAGTTCAGGTGGACGGTACCATAACGTAATGACCTTGTTAGTATACGGGCGACTAAAAAACAAAACAAAACACACACACACAGATAGCACTCTTTAAAGTTAGCATTTGTAGTAAGAGATTCTCTTAAAAATTACTATTTTGAATAGTCAAAGCAATCGTACAATTAGAATTAAAACTAAGATTTTTTAATTAATTTATTTATTTATTAAAGATTTCTGTCTCTTCCCCGCCACCGCCTCCCATTTCCCTCCCCCTCCCCCAATCAAGTCCCCCTCCCTCATCAGCCCAAAGAGCTATCAGGGTTCCCTGCCCTGTGGGAAGTCCAAGGACCACCCACCTCCATCCAGGTCTAGTAGGGTGAGCATCCAAACTGCCTAGGCTCCCACAAAGCCAGTACGTGCAGTAGGATCAAGAACCCATTGCCACTGTATTAAAACTAAGATTTTTAATACACAACCAAACACATGGACAGTAAGCAGAAATTTCCTCAACATGAGGAATAAGCAGTTAGCTATTAACTGTAATTTGGTCAAAAAGAAGTCACTCATCAACTCAACTGCTGAGCAATTATTTTCCTTTTCATAAAAGCTCTTTAAATGATTAATTCATAAAGGAATGGGTTCACAAACCTAGCATAGGACTAACATAACAAAATGTAGTCCAAATTCAAGTTCAGATTATCTAACAAAAGACTGCTTTTGTTTTGGGTCTGAGGATTGAATCCAAGACCTCTCAAGTGCTAGCCAAGTGTTCTACCCAAGTCCCTAACAGAAATATGCTCTTTATTTGTTGATGAGATAGGGGCTCACTGTACAGACCAGGCTGACCTTGAACTCATAGATTTTCTTGCCTCCTCTGTGTGGTAGGATTCAATGTGGGCACCACCACAGTTGGCCCCTAGCGAAAGTTTTTAACTAGCTCTATATCATGGAAAGTATTTCACACATTTGGATGCACTCTAGTTTGTGAAAATAAAGTAGATACTGACTACAAAATATTGACTAGTTATGGTCTAGTCTACACAGAACCACAATCTATAACTATGGTGCTTCCATCACAAAACTAAAAAGAAAATATACATATACATACACACACACACACTCACTCATTCTCTGAGATAATTAAATCTAGCTAAGTTATATAAATGCAGCAGCAAAGGATTTCTAAACATCGGACAATAGTCACATTCTATATGATTTATATGAAGTTGATCCTAAAAAATAAGAACCTACAGTTAAAATAAAGACATCAAAATAACTACCCCTTTAGAGGAGTCATAAGCCTTATTCCAAATAACAAGGACTACACGAACAGACAGTGAGCTCCCTAGGATGACTGACTGTATTCCATGCCCGTCTATTTCCCTGAGATAGGTTGAATCAGATTCATTTGGAAAAAAGAAAAACGTGCACACAATTTATTTCAGCAGCAATTTCTTAATTTAGCAACCATGGGTCTTAAATTTCTGAAAGCATAAGACCCATCTGAGTTCGCCTCTGCCACAACTTAGACAAATTTCTCTGAAGTAATCTGTGCACTAATACTTAAGTTATCAATTTGGGCAATACAATGTTCCCAAAGCCAAAATAAACTTCTGCTGAAATTGACATTTCAAACTGAAAATTAACACGAGTCTAAGTTTTTTGGTTTGGTTTAGTTTTATTTTCTGGCAAGTCTCACTATCTAGCCCAAGGTGCTCTGGGATTTGCTTTGTAGGAAGATGGCTTGAGTTTCCAGTAACTTTCCTACCTCTGACCCCCAAGAGCTGGGAGTCAGACATGTACCACCATATCTTGCTAAAATGCCTACGAAGCAAATGAAAATTGGCTATACTTTCCTTAGTAACTTTTTTTTGCTTATTTCTAGCATCAATAATCTTCATATAAAGTATTTTAAATCCTAGCTGCTCTAATAAAGCTAGACTTAATCATCCTTATTTAAACATAATTCCTTTTAAATTTGAAATTCCGCCCCCATTTTCTTACTGACCATTTTTTGATGCACAGCAAAAGATCTGAGAGCATAAGGTCTAAACTCTACTCTCAATAGTCATCTAGACATGATTCTACTGTCTTTAAAGCCCTATATTTTCTATCTTCACTCAAGAGTGTAAAAGCTCATTCACAAACACAAAGCCCAGGAAAATATGGGGTACAATGGAGCATAAGGTGGCATGTGAATGAGCTGGCTGGAGGAGAAAAAAAGCTTGGAAACATAGGAGGACTAGCTTTTACATTGTTTCAAGGGTCTATACAACTTCTATGCTGCTAAGATTGAAACTAGGCTAACTACTCTCAAAGAAATACTTAAGTTAATATAAATCTCTAATATTTTAAATTTAAAAAATATGAATGCTTAGAGAAACTTTAACTATTCTAGTGATGTTTTATTTAAACAAAGTATTCAAAATAAAAAATTAGCATATATGCCATATATCAAATCCTATGCAATTTATTACATAGTCACTTTTAGCTTTAAGTTTGGCTAACTGCCTTTATCAAATTCAGAATAGTAATTTTCAAAATGATTAAACACAAAACAACACAAAGTACAGTTCTAAGTGTAATACAAAGTATTTAATGTACAGTTAATTGTTTTCTAAGTATTTTTAAAATGTTAGTTTTTATCAAATACCCTCTGCTCATTTAGTAACACATTTCAATGCTTTACTTCTATACAATCTTAGGAATTTCAGAGTTTGGGGGAGGGGTGTTCAGGGGAACAGATTCAGTTGTGGTGTTCCCTATTTTAAATAAAAGTTTGACAAGATCATTCTATGAAATTCAAAAACATTCATGTAAAAGGACACACCTAAGCAAGATTAAATATAATAAAATCTCTAGTGATTTCTTTCATTGTATAATTTGTAGTATTTTTGAGACAAGAAGGAAAGCCTTCAGGTAACTACTCAGGAGAAATCTGGGTCATTCTGTCAATACCTACCTAGCTGCTGCAGGGAGATGATCCAGGGGGTTTCTTTGCTGTTGTAGGTGAGGAATGGACATGGCCTCCCCAAGTAGCCCTCAGGTAAACCTCAAACCTAAAACTTCCTGTCTTAGCCTCCTAGGTGCCAAGGTGACAGACAGTATGCCATCATAGCTAGACAGGAACCATTAACAAACTCATCTTAAATACATTGTTTTTTTTTTAAATATTTATTTATTATGTATACAATATTCTGTCTGTGTCTATGCCTGCAGGCCAGAAGAGGGCACCAGACCCCATTACAGGTGGTTGTGAGCCACCATGTGGTTGCTGGGAATTGAACTCAGGACCTTTGGTAGAGCAGGCAATGCTCTTAACCTCTGAGCCATCTCTCCAGCCCAAATACATTGTTTTAAACGATTTCAACAGTTATAACCTAAGTCTGAGTCACAACTACTATGTCAACAGCATAGTCATGGGTGTCCTCACCTCTAAAATACCCTTGCCTATCATCTTTTTAAAAACATAAAACCAGGTCATATCCCACTGCAAATAAATAAAATTTATCTTATTTCTGTGGCCCCACAGAACTTCAGACACCAGGGTGTTCCCCAGGAGCTGAGCTTCTCTTACTGGAATATTCTTTTCATGGGTCTTCATTAAATTTTCTTTCTTCATCCCAGATCTTAGTTCCAATTTACTTCTTGAAAGACAGCTATGCTAACTGTCCCATCAAAAATTCCTTCAGATACTGTCACATGGCCAGAATCTTATCGTCATCATTTTATTTGAGCTGTAGCACTATTTAAATCCTTAATTTCTCTGAATACCACGTAAAAGAAACAGGGATTTAGTCTGTCTTTTATAGTTCCAATGCCTAGTCCTTGGATACTTATTCTATCACACTCTGTTAAAGTAAGAACCTGTGTATAATTTTAACTGACTGGCATGCTGTAACTACTTAACAGTAAGTACAAACTTTTTTCTCATGCCCTTTCTTTTCTTTATCTTTATACTTCTTGATACTTTCACATTCCTTTTTACCTTGTAAAGAAATAGTTTCAATTCCTGTAACATAATGCTATACATTGAAAAGCTCATTTTTCCCAATAGAGGGTGTCTTCATACTAAGACCACTTGTCTACTTTGAAATGTTCAAGTTTTTAAGTACCTACATCATAGCTTTCAAAAGTGAATTTGCTACCTTCTACTGAAAATTGCTTTACTCTTCCTGTCTCCACAAACAGCAGCACTTGGCGGTAGAGAAGAGCAGCCATCCTCTAGGACGTGTTCCTTTCTTCTAGAGAAGCTGCCCTGCTCTAGACACTACACTTCAAATCCTCACTGCAATGAGTTGTGACCATGCAACCAAGTGCATGCCACTGGAGCAGGAATGCACAGCTATGAGCTTTTCCAATCATGTATCTCGATACCAACCCCTTCTTTTCGTATTTCTGGTAATAGCCTTAGAAGGTATGTGTAAAAGACGGCAAATCTTCCAGCCAGGTTTTCTGGGTGACTATATGAAATAGTCGCCCTTTGAACTGGTTAAGTATTAATGGTGCAATGAGATAAGCAACAATCAGATAACACTATTAAGTGAGAAATTATAATACTTTGAGCCATTATTAAATTTTTTTACAATAGCTTTGCCTCTCCTAAATGTAAATGTATTCAGCTATTTAAGCAGAAACCTTATAGGGAGAAGTGGAGACAGATTTTTCAACAGGTAGTGGGCTCTAACTATTCTCCCAGTAAAGACCCTTATTACGCAATTCACCTCTTTCTAAAACATAGTCCTCTGCCTAGTTCTAGCCATAATAATTTTTATCAAAATTTAGTGCAATAGCTTTCTAATCAATTTTTTTTGCTTCCAGATTTTCAAGGATAATTCATTTTCCAAAACACAGTCAAAACGATAGTCTTAAAACATAATATTATTGCACATTGCTTCTAGTGTCCTTTGTCTAGTGCACAAGGTAAAAAGAAAAATCCTTTATTACTAGGAGTTCTTGCTAATAAACCACACTGAATCTTTAGTTCTCTGAAATGGCTGAGCAAATGTACATTTTTTAGAGTAGGGAGATAGAAGCCAAATTGGAAAAGCAAAGAAAAAAAAACCCACA